ACTGTTTCAATGTATATGATACATTGGCTTAATCAATATTCTACATAATTTCAATGTATATGATCATTGACTCAAAGAATTGCAGGGCATAAAAATCAGTAAACTAAATCCATAAATACAATGTACCTTACATTGAGCAATGAACACGTTTATTAACTTATGAAAAATATTTATTGAGACAATTAATTTGTACGTTGGACTGATTTTAACGAACATTTTCATTGTCCCGATCACTTTTTTAATTATATTTACGCTACTTTTTGGTTGAGTGTATTGCGACCACTGTACATGATAACTAAATTTCTTATTTAATTTGCCAAAAAAGATAATTAATCTGTACAAACAGTATTTTATCGATGTTTTCAAGCTTGTTTATCAAGCTGATGTACTCATGTATTACTAATTAATATTTATTAAATAAACAAAAGAAGGTCTTACATTACTATACAATGCTATAATACATGAGGTAAGTAAAAATACAATAGTGACAAAAAAAATTCATTTTATATAAAATAATCAAACTACAGTAGCAAGTTTAAGTAGTTTACATAGTTAAATAATTTAAAAAATAGTACACAGGCAAACCTTTTTTCTAACTTTGTAATATTCTTATAAATATTGTGATATGAAGTCGTCTCTGTACTTTGTTTACTCCTTGCCTGCGCTGGCCATGTAGGGACAAACGCACCGCTTCGAGAAGCTACCGGATAGATCCCAAGATTGTAATAATTAAATTAGAATTATGAGTCATAATAGTGCCTAAGTATTATATAATTTAATTAGTACGTTATAAATAAATTGTAAATAAAGTAAAGTAAATAAATAAACTATAAATAAATTAAACAAACATTACATTGGTGTTAGAAGTGGAACTGTAAATAAATAGTGGACAAAAATAGCTAAAAAATGGTGTGATTTAAAAATGGCTGAATTGTGTCAAGAACTATAGGATCGTGATTTGCAGACGACAAGGAAGAAAACAGCTAGCTAAGCGGCTTAAAGAAACAATGGAAAGCGAAGGTTTGGATCCGGAAATATTTCTATTTTCGGATGATGCGTCTTCTATAATTTCTTCATTAGAAAGTCAAATATCAACCATGAAAACCGATATTTCGTCTGACATTTCTTCATTAGAAACTAAAGTTTCTTCAGATGTTTCCTCTATAAAAAATTATATTTCCTCCTTAGAAAATAAGTTTCTTCTGACATTACTTCCTTAGAAGGTGAAGTTTCGTCTGATATTTCTTCCTCAGAAGAAAAGGTAACTTCTGACATATCTTATTTAAAAATAGAAATTTCTTTGAATTTAGAAAACAAAATCTTTTCTTTGAAAGATGAATTTTTTTCTGAAATGTCTTCTCTATAAAATGAAATCTTTGTTTTGGAAAACAAGATATCTTGTGTAGAGGAGAAAATTAAACAGATGGAAAAGAAGATAGAAGAACTGTAACATACAGAACAGATCAAGGACGTTGAAATACAGTGCAATGAGGTGGAGCCAAAGTTGAAATTGAAAGGAGCTGTAAATTCTGCTCGTATTAAAGTAACAACTTTCGACGGGAATATGTCACAGACTACTTTAAACAGTTCAAAACAGCTGCCAGAGCAAACGAATACGGCTACGCTGCCTACTGGTGGAAACAGTTAAAGTAAGAACTGTAAAAAAAAGGAAGAACAGGAATTCGACCAATTATTTCACATGATAAAAAGTCTTATTGAGAAGCAACTGAAGACTATTAAGTGCTGGAATTGCGGTAAAATGGAAAATGTAAACAGTTCGCGCAAACGCATCAAAAAACTGTCTGATAGATGTGAAACTACAAGAGTAACGCGATTGCAAGAAACTGTAGAGAAGAAACGCCTGTTATGGTGGAGCCTTCGAAGTGTAATTGGTTAAGGACCTCTGCTTGGAAAGGGGTTGGCCACATCTACTAAAGAAGTTACAGTACGACGCACGACGGTTATCAGCGATGAGTGGGCCCTTGTAAAACTTAGGGCAGAACAAGAGAACGATCCCGTTTTAAAGAAGATGCGACAATGGAAAGAGGAAAATCGTAGACCTACCAGGCAAGAATTATCAAAACTCTCTAGTAGTCAAGTCATATTGGGCTCAGTGGGACTCTTTTATTCTAGAAGAAGGCGAGTACTAGAGAATGATGGTGGTTTCGAAAACAGATAATATTTGGTAATTCCAAAGACTAGAGTAGTGAAAGTACTTCGTCAGTTACACGACAGTCTATCAGGAGGATATCTCGGTGTTAAGAAAACCCTTCAGAAAGTTCGGGAAAGGTTTTACTTGATAAACAGTTTCAATGATGTAAGGGACTGGTGTAAGAGATGTACCACCTGTGCTTTAAGGAATGGACCTCAATGAAGAAGGAAGGCTCCCATGAAGCAATACAACGTTGGTAGCCCATTTGAGAGGATCGCCTTAGATATTGCTGGACCATTTCCCGTGACCGAGGATGGTAATAAATACATTTTGGTGATAATGGATTATTTTACAAAATGGGTGGAAGTCTACACAATTGCAAATCAAGAGGCCCCAACTGTTGCAGATGTGTTGATAAAAGAGTTTATCTGTTGATTTGGAGTGCCATTGGAGATCCACAGTGACCAAGGCAAAAAATTTAAAAGCTAACTCTTTCGTGGAATCTGTGAAGACTAGACATGGAGAAAACCAGAATCGCAGCATTGCACTCACAATCTGATGGAATGGTAGAGCGAATAAATAAGACTATTGGAAAATATATGTCAAAAGTAGTTTTAAACTATCAGCGACATTGGGATCAGTTTCTTTCGCTGTTTGGGCATGATATGAAACTACTGTACAACCTCCTTGAGTTTGGATGCTGACCTGGAGAAGATGTAGCTGGTGAAGATTATGTGATCTATTTACGAAGAATAATGAACGATAGGCATAAACTGATACGCTCGCATCTTCAAATATAATGAAGAAGCGATACGATACCCAAGCCACAGAAGGATGTTTCAAGAAAGGCGAGAAAGTCTGGTTCCATAACCCAAAAAGACAAAAGTTTTGGAAAGGTCCGTATCTTATCAAGAAAAAAATAAATGGTGTCATTTACCGTATAAGTATAGTAAACCAAATGAGGTGCACCAAAACCGGCTGGCGCCTTTTGAGAGTGACCATGAAGAGGAAGAAGAAGTAAATCAGCTCCAAGAAATACCTGACCTTGTCTTTGAAGAATTTATGGGTGCATATCAAGGTACCAAAAAAGCAAGACATGGTGTTAAACGATTCCTAAAGATTACTCGCTGGTCCATAGCACTTCCACCAACATCTACGAAGCTCGAGGTTTGGCTTCAGTGTTTCGGAAGAAGTTTGGTCGATTGCTAGACAGAACTTCAAGATTAGTTACCAGCCCCTGGAAAAGCATTGAAATTTCAAGATGAATTACGTTAAATTTTGTACTTGATAACAAAGTACGCCTTCCGAAATAGACCCACCTATTATGATGTATAGGAAACATTACTCAGTCTGAGGCAGCATGTACTAAAGTTCAATGTACATAAACTAGCTATGCCAAAGATAGAGAGCAACCATCTGAATTGGAAGATCATTAGAAACATGGTGGAAGTAATCTTCCAAGATACCCAGGTTGAAATTCTGGTCTGCAGCCATTCTCTCAGCGTTTAGGTTATAGCGAAGACTATCCCTTGTTACTTCCATACAACTGGAAATTGTAAAAGAGGATTCAGTTGCAGATAGAACCATTCAGTTTTAGTTCCAGGAGGAATTATTTCTTAAGGAGGGGGCAATGTTATGGGAATGCCTAAACAGTCTCTGTAGAGCACGATCTTGAAGTCTGCCACCCGACTCATGGTCGAAACCCCTGAATCTTTTAGGTATGCCGCTGACGTTTCGAGAAATTAGCGGAGTGATCCCTTTGCGGTCTAGGAGTCATAGAGAGGCAGTTCTCGATTGTTGTGGAAACCCGAGAATATTCTAGCACAGAGTTAAACTTTCTATAAACAGCGTGAGTGGTCGACTGACGGGAAGATTGAATTTAAGTGGTGGACAGAAAAGATAAACTGTAATAAATAAATTAAAATTGTGAGTGCCTAGGTATTTTATAAATTAATTAATAAGTCATAAATAAATTGTAAATAGTGTGTTTTAAATAAATAAACTATAAATAAATTAAACAAACGTAACAGTTACAAATGCTATATACTCGGAAAAAGTATTATATTAAAATTGAAAACAATATTATTTTACCTTACTTATCGTGCATAAAATTTATATAATAAAATATTGGTTTTTATTACAGTAGTTTCTATCATGTTTCTGTCACTTTTAATTTGATTTTTCTAAAAATAAAAATAAAGAACGTTTTAATAGACCTTTCCCGTTATTAATGACATCTAATACTCATGCGAAAATCCTACTTTGTGTTAAAATTAAAGATTTATTGTAATGTTTTCTACTCTGAGTTCCAATTACACATCCGTAAATGTAATTTTTAACTTTTATTATTGGTAGGGGAGCCAGTACACTTTTAGCTGTGTTATTTGCGCAAGTCAAAATTACAAATATTTCGTTCATTCTTACCTTGCAGAACATGGAAATACTTTACTAGTGCCTAATGCGATAGGGTCCTCGATGAGGACGTCTTAAAAATGTCTGTTTAGATAATACCTTGTGCAAATGTGTACCAAAAAAGTGTCCTGGCTCCTCTACTATATAGACTAGGTGACAGTTCTTTAAAGTAACGATGATAGAGAGCAATCGTCGTAGTCAACCCAAAAGTCATTAATGTTTTGGATTACTCCATACAAAAGGGCCTAATTAAGGCAGAATGGTAACTTTTGATGAAGTTGCTATACAGTTGCTATGAAAGTAGTTAGAAAATTGCAAAATAACAACTGTATTTAAAGAATTGGGTCATATATTTATTTTTATCTAGTTTTCTTGTTGTGTAGGTATATTTTCATAAATAAAAAATTTTTAGATTCTACAGTGTACCTTTACATATTATATCCTCTATTTTTACCAAAACAATTGTATTATAATCCAGCTACGAATCAAACTATTTACGAAAAACCGCTACCGCTTTCACCATATTTTCCTTTCGACGAACACAAATATCACGTCTTAGCTTATTTGGTCGAAGAAATCGGCTGCTCCGTTTGCATCTTTATTAACTACGGCACCGATACATTATTCTACAGTTTTATGAGTTATGTTCTGGGCCAAATAGATATTTTGAAATACTTTTTAAATAATTTCGATTCGTATAGTAAGAAGATTAAAGGACAGTTGGATTGCGATGATGATAGAGCAGATTTTGTTACGATGCAGCTTTGTATTTTTGAACATCAAAGAATAATTAGGTAAGTTAAAACAAGGTGTTGTTGAAATACATGTATAAATAAAAAGTTACAAAAATATGTGCTGTTCGTTAATACATAATGGAATTATAAATTAATTCTTCAAATTGTTGGTTTTTAATTGTGTAGTTTTCTTCAGAGATATTTTTGTTTATAATTTCTATAGTCTAGAGAAGACAGGAGTGCAGTAATTTAATTTGCAGAACGTAGTACAGGTTCAAGAGGTAGACATTTTATTTGAACCTTCAATGCTTATTTGTTGTTAAAATTAAAATTTTAATACATCTAATCGGCCTAAAAAAAGTTTTCGTTTATCATATTTCCATGATTTTTACTGTAATAAACCTTTTATTTTGACAGATAAGTCAGACTCATAGCTCTCAGAAAGTCTAGATACCGCACCGTGAAAAAATTTTGACCCCCAATATGATGAGCGCTATTATGGGTAAATTTTAAGTTGGCACTACTGACAAGACAGAATCGGCGCAATTTTAGTAATAACCTTAAGATCGACGTTCGACGTTTATAATCTATTTTTTTATCTGTTGTGTTGTTTATTTTGTTCTTCTAGTAAATGTTTTATTTAAAATATTTTTTGTTTAGTCGTTTAGTGTATTATTTTAATGAAAAACGTTTGTAGTTTGATGTTAAATATTTACAGGATTTCCAAAATGTCTTGTTGTTTTGTACCTGGATGTAACAATGCCTCTTACGGTAGAAGATACAAGGAAGAAATAACATTTCATGTGTAAGTTTTCACAAATATTTTGTGTATTTACAAAATCAAATAATTTGTAAGTTTTGTTGTAGCATACCAAAAAAATTTAGAAAAGAATTGCTGATAGCCATAGGGACACCATTGGATCATTTTGTAACGTTCAGCTCAGGATTTCTATAGTTTAAATTAAAAGTTTTTTTTGTGTTATGAATAATTGAATTATATAACAAATATAATATAATAATTATAATATATTTGTTTTAAGAACACTGTGTTTTCTTCAGCTCCTTTTCAGGGACGAGTTAGGTTCTAACATCAAGTGTTATACAGTGAAGGGCTACGAAGCCAAGTTTAAGGCGAAATTCTGTTTATATGATTTGAGGCCCGGATTCATATATTTTGTTATTCAACCCCCGGGACACAGATAGTCCCTTAATTATTTAAAACACGTAAATCGTGACATGTTTTTATTATAAAACACGTTTAACGTGACAGTATTACATCTCAGTAACAAACATACCACAAACAAAACGTTAAAATCTGTCGAAAACTCAAGTGTTATACAGTGAAGGGCTGAGAAGCCAAGTTTAAGGCGAAATAGTGTTTATATGATTTGAGGCCCGGATTCATATATTTTGTTATTCAACCCCCGGGACATAGATAATTAATTAATTATTTAAAACACGTAAATCGTGACATGATTTTATTATAAAACACGCTTAACGTGACAGTATTACATCTATACCCTCAGTAACAAACATAACACAAACAAAACGTTAAAATCTGTCGACAACTCGAGGTCGAAAAAATCATGATTCCTACACTTTCCTTATCTGTATACAGATAGGAAAGTAAAATGAACTAAAAGGAAAAATAATGCATTATCACTAAATTTATTTTGTTGCAAGTGCAATATGGAGATATCTAGAGGTTAATGTTATGTGGTGCATTGGATTACTAATAAAATTAGCTGTCCATTGAAGTGTCACACTTTACCATAGGTAATAATTTTTTAACCCGCTAGAGGGCGCTAAAATTAAAAAGAATGACAATGAACGAACATATTACTGAATTCTCCATAAACTTGCCTTTCCGACGATGTGTCATACTTGGTACTTTCCCTATTTAAATTGTATTTGTAAGATTGACGTATGGGAGAGGAATGATGCATGACAGTTGAGAATATTATAGAAAGGTGTCTCCCTTGAAATAAAAATCGACCTGTTTTTGCGCTTCTTTCAAAAAAAAATCTATTTCAAGATGTTCTGAGATACGGCCAGTCGCCACCCTTAATAAATGACCCTGTACTTTCTAGAATATACTTTCAAAGTATACACTATGTAAGTTTTAAAAACATTCTAGAAGGGACATACCAAAGAGAACAAACATAACGTTTTTAGGATATTCATAGAACATGAATATATAATAGGCTAATGGATTATATCCGCAGTCATAAAATCCAATCACACACACACACACGCACGCACGCACGCACGCACGCACACACGCACGCACGCACGCACGCACGCACGCACGCACGCACGCACGCACGCACGCACGCACGCACGCACGCACGCACGCACGCACGCACACACGCACGCACACACGCACGCACGCACGCACGCACGCACGCACGCACGCACGCACGCACGCACGCACGCACGCACGCACGCACGCACGCACGCACGCACGCACGCACGCACGCACGCACGCACGCACGCACGCACGCACGCACGCACGCACGCACGCACGCACGCACGCACGCACGCACGCACGCACGCACGCACGCACGCACGCACCCACACGCACGCACGCACGCACGCACGCACGCACGCACGCACGCACCCACGCACCCACGCACCCACGCACCCACACACACACACACACACACACACACACACACACACACACAGACGCACGCACCCACACGCACGCACGCACGCACGCACGCACGCACGCACGCACGCACGCACGCACGCACGCACGCACGCACGCACGCACGCACCCACGCACCCACGCACCCACACACACACACACACACACACACACACACACACACACACACACACACACACACACACACACACACACACACACACACACACACACACACACACACACACACACACACACACACACACACACACACACACACACACACACACACACACACACACACACACACACACACACACACACACACACACACACACACACACACACACACACACACACACACACACACACACACACACACACACACACACACACACACACACACACACACACACACACACACACACACACACACACACACACACACACACACACACACACACACACACACACACACACACACACACACACACACACACACACACACACACACACACACACACACACACACACACACACACACACACACACACACACACACACACACACACACACACACACACACACACACACACACACACACACACACACACACACACACACACACACACACACACACACACACACACACACACACACACACACACACACACACACACACACACACACACACACACACACACACACACACACACACACACACACACACACACACACACACACACACACACACACACACACACACACACACACACACACACACACACACACACACACACACACACACACACACACACACACACACACACACACACACACACACACACACACACACACACACACACACACACACACACACACACACACACACACACACACACACACACACACACACACACACACACACACACACACACACACACACACACACACACACACACACACACACACACACACACACACACACACACACACACACACACACACACACACACACACACACACACACACACACACACACACACACACACACACACACACACACACACACACACACACACACACACACACACACACACACACACACACACACACACACACACACACACACACACACACACACACACACACACACACACACACACACACACACACACACACACACACACACACACACACACACACACACACACACACACACACACACACACACACACACACACACACACACACACACACACACACATACACACACACACAGAACATGAATGAATGCAGTCAATGGCCTGGCTTGTCGGATATATAGCAAACTCAATAAAGAACGTTTTATTACATATTCTTTATTTTTTATTTTGATAGAATATATATATAATTCACATGACAGACCAATATACATCAATTCTAACAATTTTGATAGATAATTATTGACGAACGTTTTCTAAAATTTCTACACTTTTCTCGCAGGACTTTGTCAATACCTTCACTCGATGCTCTTTGAATGGCTTCGTATGGTTTTGAGGGATATATTTCTTCTGCTGTTTTGCTAATACAATTTTTTATGGAGGGTACATTCCATTTACAAGCTGCAACTGATTTATTATAATTCCCAACAAGTATTAGAAATTAAAAATTTAAAAAAAAAAAACCGACTTCAAAAACGTGCAGATGCCATCACCACATCTTAACCAAATTCTTGTGGGACCACCCCTGAGGTACCCCCTTACTAACAAAAAAAGAATCCTATAAATCGGACAAGGTGGTAAATCATTATCGCTAAACATACATAAAAATGAAGAGTTTGAGGATTTTCTCATGGATCCAATTATTAGATTTTGACCAAATTTATATGGGACCACCCCTGAAGTTCCCCCTTTCTAACAAAAAAAAATAATTAAAATCGGACACCGTGTTAAAAAATTATCGCTAACCATACATAAAAAAAATATCTCGACGAATTGAGAACCTCCTCCTGTTTTGAAGTCGGTCAAAAAGGGCTAGTGTTGCAATGTGAAAGCATTTGATTTATCTAGCGCAAACACAAGATGCAGAGCTAATGTGACTTACCACGAGCCGCCACTATCCCATTGTCTTAACATATGGTCTTAACACTTCTCAAATAATTTGCAAACGGACTTTTGCGATAAGAATCTCATTGGCGTGCAATTTACAAGCTCTAGTAGTTGACCAACCGTTGTTTGGCCATGTTGTTCGGGAAAAGATTCAGAAACCTCGTAAGTTGTACCTCTCAGCAATTTTTTCTTTATCAGCCGCTATCAAAATTTTTTCACTTGAAGATTGTATGCTGTTGCCTTCTAACTTAGTGAAAACTGCGAAAAAAAAATACACGAGGCAACTAACAAAATTCTAAAAAATTACAATAATATACAGG